AGACAGATTCTCACTGAGCTTCTTTTTGATGTATCGGACTGTTTTCTGATTGGTCTCTGTGCCACTGTCTTTCTTCATTAGCAGGTCCTGCAGTTTATCCTGATTGGTCTGCAGTGATAGACCCAGGAGGAAGCGAAGGAATAAGTCCAGGTGTCCATTTGGACTCTGCAAGGCCCTGTCAATGGAAATCATGTGGATCTTCTTTGAAGATGTCTTCCTTAAAAGCAGTCGAAGGTTTTTCAGTGATGGTTGTGGTAAAGGCATGACATTTATTTTGCTGTTAGTAAGTGACATCCTTACATAAAGAGCAGCCAGAAACTCCTGAACACTCAGATGGACAAAGCTGAACATCTCGCCTTTCCCTTTCCTTCCTCGCTCTTCTTTGAAGATCTCTGTGAACACTCCTGAGCATACCGAGGCTTCACTAACATCAGTGCTGCTCTCTCTCAGATCTTTTTCATAGAAGATCAGGTTGCCCTTGTCCAGTTGCTGAAAGGCCAGTTTTGCTAATGACTTAATGTATTCAATGCTTTTCTGTGGGCCATACTTTTCTTTTGTCCGATCAATCTGAAACACCAGGAACTCTGCGTACATCTCAGTCAGGGTCTTGGGCAGCTGTCCTTCTCTTGTTTTCAGCACATCTTCTAGAACTGTAGCAGTGATCCAGCAGAAGACTGGGATATGGCACATGATGTGGAGGCTTCCTGTTGTCTTGATGTGGAAGATGATTTTGTCAGCTTGCTCCTTACCTTTGAATCTCTTCCTGAAGTACTCATCTTTCTGTGGGTCAGTGAACCCTCTGACCTCTGTTGTACTGCTGATAAACTCTCGAGGGATCTGATTGGCTGCTGCAGGCCGTGTGGTTATCCAGATGCGAGCAGAGCGTAGCAATTTTCCATTGATGAGTTTTTTCAACAAGACATCTGTTTTAGTTGACTTTGTTACATCGACAGAGCGAATATCTTCAGACTGAAAGTCGAGATGAAGGCGGCTCTCATCCAGCCCATCAAGCACAAACAGAAGTTTGAATTTACTTTTGTCATAGTTGGTAATTCCCGATGACTGAATATCTTTAAAGATGTAATTAAGAGCCTCCTCTGTGATGCCTACAGTTTCTGGGATACATTCATGAATGAGCTCTGCCAAACTGAATTTTTTTCCCTTCAGTGGATTCAGCTGACGGAAGGTGAAGGGGAAAACCAGATGCACATCTTGATTGTATCTTTGTTCAGCCCAGTCCAACACAAACTTGTGAACAAGGAATGTTTTTCCAATTCCTGCGATTCCATTGGTCATCACTGTTTTAATGGGTCTGTATTCTCCAGAAGGATGTTTGAATATGTCTGTGGG